TCGAACTAAAATTGCTCGGGATGGAAAAACTTTTTTGGTCCGCCATGATCCTTCCGTGCGGGGGAAAAAAGGGTCAAGTTGGGGTGGGATGCGCATCAGCTGGGCTTTCAACGAAATTATTTGGGTTTCCGATTTAACTTTGCCGCATCATCCCCGATGAGGACCAACGAAAGTGGCAAAAGGTATAATAGGGCAACTTCTTTTTTTTCCGAGTGGTGTGGAAAAAATGGGGTTGATGAATAATTTACGTTATCTACTGATATTCCTCCAACAACCTGTTGGATGGTTGTAAATTATACGTGATCCAAGACTAAGAAGACCAGTTTTTAATTTAATTATTACTCGCATGAAAATTTTAAAACTACACGTGAGCCACGGAAAGTATACTTACAGTGACAAAGTGCAAGGAATTTCAGTACCTACTTACGCTATGCCATTAAATATTATCAAAAGCGCCTGCACTGGAATTTTGGAAAGTAAAAATGTTTCATTAATTCCACAGAGTTTAAAATAATTCGTGACATCGTTATCGACAGAATAGTTACACGAGTTTCACCTTGAAAGTGATACCAATAGTAGTATAAAATACATCTCACGAGTAAAAAATTCCAGCAGAGTAAGAGCAACCTTCGTAAGGTTTACTTAAAATAATCTATGGCTGTGCATTTAAAAAATGAAAACCTACTGTGCTATTCTCTTCTTTCTAGCCGTTGTGGTGAGTAATGAATAAATAAATTAACTGATCGAACAAATAAATACATTAGCCTCCAAACGTCGTCTATAAACACTAATAAATATTTTAGGTGAATTGTTACGGAAAAACGTTATGTAAGAACGTGCCCGACACGTTGAAAAAAAAAAAAAAAAAAAAAAAAAAAAAATTTATACCAATGATTAAAACGTAATATATCACGTATTTCTTTGACCAATTGTATCCTTAACTATACCTCGGGAGAAAAAAAAAGAAATTGGATTCTTACGATAACAGTAGTTTTCAGTCTCGCGGCTTGAAACATTTCCAATAAACGTAGAGCGTACCACTTTCCTTCTCCGTCATCGCTGTACGCGAGAGATAATCATCTTCCATTGGGCATCCCTTGCGCCTCTAAACGCATGGAATATCAAATCATCCGGATCTCCATTCGTCCCGTGCATTCAGCCAGCGACCACAGCCTCTAAGCCACAGAACATGTAATATATACGTATACATGTATTTTTAGAGAAGAACTCCGAGGATCAGGATATTGCAGGTGGATTGCCGTTGCGCGTGTATTTATAGTCCGCGTCGACGTCAACGCGGTTATTTGCGGCTCCGCGAATCAACGTCATCGGTAAAAGCTGGCTGGTCCGTGTACGTTGACGACGAGCACGGGCTGCCCATCCAGTGCTTATATAATTATCATCACCCCTCCATCTGACGATGGCACGAAAGACTTTGGACCTTTTTTTTTTTTTTTTCTTCCGCCTACCGATAAGACAGTCAACTCGTGCAAGCTTCGATACGAATGTTGGCCCAGCTGCGACACTTTCCGTTAAAAATATGAACTGAAATTGTCCTTTCCTTCGAGATGCCGCCAAAGTGGCCGGCGTTTCATTCCTCCTTTGTCCCGGTGGTAGCTCGACTGGGATGGAATACTCATACCGAGAGGATCTAATCAGACAATCCTTCCATTAAACGCGAGGGAGAAGGGAACAACTCTTATTTCACCTCTCGTGTGTGTGTGTGTATGTACACGTAAAAAAACAAGCCCCCTAATGGACTCTCGTGCACGTATATGAATAAACCACGGCTGGTCTTTTTAGCTGCTCCGCTTATCTCTTGCGTCAGCCCTTTCTTCCCCCGCTGTAGGAAGACAGTCGTCTTAACCAAGAGCTATGCCGAGGAGGTAAGTACGGGGAGGGGCAAATCAGGCGCATCTGAAATATGTAGGCCATCGAGCCTGCGTGTCTCGTCCCTCCTTTGACCCTCCCGTCTCTGGATCTTTTCCGATGTACGTCTCCAGGCCACCTGTGCTAGCTGATACTCGCAAAAACGCTGCTGCTATATCTTTTTTTCTTCTTGTTAAAAAAAAAAAAAAAAAAAAAAAAAATTGTATCACGTGTTTTTGTATCGAACCGATTTTTGTTCGCTCGCACTTACTTTCACCACAACTCATTTAAATTGGCTAAAGTGACTCATTTTTCGTTGTTAAAACAACTAATTTGTAGGTCGCTTCGATTGGACAATTCGGCGTAAGTCGAGTGGGCAAAGTTTTTCCCCCAAGGCTAAAAACGATAAAGCACAGCTTTTCCAACGTACAGGTATGTATCTATGAAAAAAAAAAAAAAAAAAAAAGTACGTACTTAGTTTCAAGTACACATGTATTTGCAGAATACTTGAGACCACTCCGGCAGCCGTGTCGAAATTATCTCTGCAAAATGCATGTATATATAATTATATACACGGCCAAAAAGATCGTTAAGGGGATTTATAAATAATCGAGCGCGTACACCAGCCGAGCAAAGAGCTTTTAATAAACCGTTCGGTAATCTTGAAAAATTCACCAACGAGCTTCAAGTTTCATCACAAGTGTCGCTCGGGTGAAATGGAAAAAAAAATATGTACATTTGATGTACTGCCGATACGAATCGTGCACTTCCCACACATTTCGGACGTCAGCTTACGGCTCGTGTACAACTGCACGTGCCTTTCGTCTCAAACATAAATATATGTATGGGTGTAAAGATTAACTAGTAAAAACTCGTGTATGTGCGTGACATACTTGTGTATAAGTAAAACATCCGAGGTAGCTTGAGGTCGGCCTATATTCCGACGTCAAACGGAGCTTTTCTTCCACGGGCTCTCGAGAGGATACACGTCGGGCATGTAAGAGTAGCTCCGCTCGCTGCTGCGGGGGGGAAGGCGTGGAAGAAAAAAGTAAACGACTTGATTCATGAAAAATTCAAAAGAAATGTGTGATATTTATACATGGGGGAGGAGGGAAGCACGGCTTTTCCACTTCCCGTGCACGGAAGAGACGAAATTCAAGTTGCCATATATTTCGGAAGGATACAGCTGGTGTGTGTGTGTGTATTTACAAATGTGCAGAGTTGCGTCTCGCGAGGCAATAGAGTGGGTTTGATGATAAAAATATGTAGGTTACGCAGAAAAGACGAATGGCCCGAAACACTTTATGTGTGCCCTTTTGGGGCGCGCGTGCGGTTTTATGTGCGCGTGAGAGCAAGGGGAGAGAGAGAGAAAAAAAAAAAAAAAAAAAAAAGGTGTTGGTACACACATCACGGCGCGCTCGTCCCGAATCCCTTGGGGTTGGCGCAGCGAAATTGTTATAGACGCGAAACAACTTTTTTCCCTTTTAGAGCCCCATATGTGTGCACTGTTTCGATGGAGAAAGAGGAAGAGCGGAGTATCGGCGAGATCGAATTCGCACCGGTTCGCGCAATAGTTGAAAAATTTCAGCAGCTCTTTTGTCTCTTTCCTTTTCGCGCCGATGTAAGCTAAAAAAAAAAAGGAGGGGGGGGAGTGGTTTCGTTTGCATATCGATGGCGCGCTACTTTGCTCGAGTGAATTCGAGGGTTTTAAAGCGACGTAATTATTTTTTATACCTCCTCTCGCCATCTCCTTTATGGCACCTGTCACGAACGCCACTACGTAATGTCTCCTCCCCTTTTTTTTTTTTTTTTTTTTTTACGAGCTAGCGCGCAAAAAGAAAAAAAAAAGACTATGTATACCCATTACGCTTCGGGGGTGCGGAACGGAGCTGAAAAAAAAAAAAAAAAAGTCAATTTGGAAAGGGCGCGCGTGGAGAAATAACGCGACCTACGACCTTATATTTTGGGCAATCACGTTAACGCGCGGTCTTTAATTAATTAGCCCAACTCGTGATGCCGTGGTTACCTGTAATGTCAGTTTTCAGCGGTGGGGGGGAGGCTACGTTTTTTGAATACGAGTGTCCACTATTTTAAAATTAATTTACAAAGCTTATATATTTTTGGCATCGGAGTTGTTGATGAAATGATTAAAAAAACGCGTCTACTTATACATAATATACCAAGCCCCATTTTAATTAACTTTTTGTTTTTAACCTCTCGACCAGCACTTTGCTGAATGAAACTGATGCTACTCGAACTAATTGCCGCCTGTGGGTGTGGACGCAGCTGCTAAAAAATAATGAAAGCGAACGGTTTTTCGTGCGATAGTCTCTCGAAAGACAGTGTGGATCGAAAAGTAGGTTACAGCCCCTTTCAACGTGTGTGGGTGTATTGTCTCGTGTCTTGTGTGTACACGTACACGTGCAAATATAATAAAAGGGCTTTTACGGCCCCACACATTACGAGACTTTACTACCGGCCGTTATGCTCAACGTGTATTACATGCGTTATATACGCGCGTATGGGCTCCTTGGTCCCCGCTGTTACGTAAGTGGCGTAAAATTTTTAACTACATTTTCCTCTTTCGAGCGACACTCGCTAGCTTTTATTTTACGGGACAAAGGTGTTTTGTGCAAGAGTTGCGAGTTTTGGTACGTTAGTTTTTCCAAAGTCTGTTTGGTACATTCACAGTTATACTTCCATTCGGTGTACACTGTACATCGGTACCTTCGATTTCAACCCTTGACGAAGCACTACATAGTACTGGCATTGACGTAATAGTGTACATAGCTGCTTGTGACAAGCCCAGAAACTTTAATTATTTAATTTCACGTTATTCAATTTCTTTCCTCGTTCCTTCCATTTACGCATTGCGTTTTATTTAAAGTCACGACAAAGTAACTGATCCTCTTCGTTATCTGTAATTGATTAATCAGTTTGAGTGTCATTTTCATATGTATTTTTATATGCGTATCCAAAAAGTTTAACAAACCAGACGTTTGAAATTTTCGCGCTATAAACAGCGTGCACTTGGATTCTGCGCGCAGACGAAAATCAGCTGATTGGTTGGGTGTTGATATTTGAAAGACCGGTGTTTCATCGTCGTTTGTAATGGTCAACATAACCTACAATTGTCATTGTGAATCTCTTTTGATTTGCACACAAAACACGAATAAACGTATTTTATAATAAAAAACATTGATCGAAGCGTTTTGTACATATAATTGAAATGGAGAGAAGAACTTTTGGAGGTTTGCTGAGTAAAAATGTCAACTCACCCTCCAGGCGCAGACTATCTCTGGTGCAGTCTATTAAGAAGGGCAGCACGTAAGTATTTCAGTAATATTATTACTGATTTTTACCAGTTTTTTGAGGATTTTCATATTTTTTCATGCGCTAGTTCGGTATTTCAGTATCATCAATCAATATTCAGTCATTACCTGAATTTTTAACTTGTATTTTTATTCGAAACTAAACGACACGAATGATATTCATGTAATATACTATTTTCAGTGCATTGAGTGTGTCCGGAAGGTCAAATCAATCCACACAAATCATCTGCAGGACAGCAAGCCATTTGGTAGAAAATTTTGGCTCCCCTCAACCTGTTTTAGTGACGGAAGCCTTAACTTTTGTTGAACGCAACGCAGCTATTAGCGTTGGAGTGTCGTTAGATGGTTGGGCATGGCTTGTTTGTGGCAGACGATTACTTGTGTGGTATTACAAAACAGTTCTATTTGATAACAAGCAAAGTAGGGCTTATAAAAGCCAGTGTCATGAACTCCAGTTACCCCAGAGTGATTTAGCTCACAAATCAGACTGCATCGCAGTATGGCTACCTCCTGGACAGCAGGTAAGTGACGAATCATACTAAGAAAAAAAAGCGTTTGGGTTGTTTTTCTTTCAAAGTGCTTGTAATACCAAAATTAGGTGCCAAGTTGTATGGCCGTTTCGCCAGAAGGTATAGTGCGTTACTGGGAAAATGTAGCCAACGAAGAGCTGTCTATTGAGACGAGCGCTGAGCTGCAGGGCCAAGAAGTTGATTGTCTAACGTACATACCCGAGCATGGTTGTATTCTGGCAACAACTACATGTACAGTGGCACTTTTGCAGCCTCAGGTTACTAGTGGAAAAAGTAGTATAAATTGTAGGGTATTAAGAACAAGCAAAGGATGGTTTGGTGGCATTGGTAGGAGAATGTCCACTTTGATATTTGGTGCTATTCCACAGTCACCTGTTCAGGAAACGGTAAAGATTTTAATTCATAAAAATATTAGCACGCAAAAAATGTAAAAAATAATGTACTAAGTAAAAATGTATGAATATTCAAATGACTTTTAGAAAGTTGTCAAAGTTGTGTGCACAGTTATAAATGAAAAACTATCTAGAGTGTTGATCTCGGCAGGCAACTCGTTGCAATACTGGTCTTTCCAAATTGGGGAGCAGGAAAAAATGGAATTCGATGAGGATATTGGTCACATTGTTATGCAAGCGTTTCAGAAACGTCTAATGGTACAATAATTTTTTTTTTTTTTAAACGTTTTAATTGCAAATATTTGTCAAACAAACAAATTAATGGATAAAGTAATTTTCAGGAATCAAGTGGTTCCCATCCACAAAATTTAAATACATGTCTCATAGATATGCAACCAATGGACGAAGGTATCGTCTTTTTAATGGCTGCTTACAATACAGAACCCACGTCGTTCACCCCTATTCACTTTGCGGTCGGTTTGATTCCTCTTTCAAATGCACAAATTTCTAATTCCTTCAAATGGTTCATCCCTTTAAAAATCAATAATGCGGGTTTCAATAAAGACAGCATCGAATCTGCCATTAAATCTTATCGTTTTATTATATCGGGTTGGGACATCATCATTTACGACAAACACAACGTTATCATTATCAGCAGTAAGTTCGTTTTTTTATTGAATTTTCATAAACTTATGCGTTGATTAAAACAATGCCATCATTGTTTGTAGATTTATCGGAATACGAGGTGGATAACATCGATTTAGCTCGAGGCGAGAAAGATAGCATTCTAGGTGGCGCACTTTGCTCTGGAACGCCCGTTCTTTTTACCAGGAATCTTGGGTTAATCACAATTACTGCTTCGGACTTTGCAAACCAGGATTTCAATCAGTTAGTTGACTACGTGAAATTTTTTAATTTCATAAACAATCCTACTCTCTAAACCATTTATGTTTTTTTCAGGAGTTATTCAGATGCAAACTTGAGCGTAGATGCACACGCTAGTAATTTGTCGTTAATGCCCGAACAATTTATGAGCTTGTTGAATAACGAGGAGATAAGAGAAATGTTTTATAGTTCTGACAACGTGAAACAACTACAGGCTGCGTTCCTTCTGAGCGTTAGGCAAAATAAAGAGCACTGTGAAGATATTTTGACCGACTTGTTCCCTATGCCGGAAGATCCGGTTATGGATATCGATGCACCGTTAGATACCACGGTTTTAAAAGTAGCGGAGCATTTGATCGACGACTATCCAGCTAATGATCCCAGATGGGCCAACTACAGGAACTTGAGTAATAAATCATTTTTTTCCATTGTAATAATGTATTCTTTTTTCCTTCAAGTTTTCAACAGAATAAAATGTTTATTTCTTATAGATTTTACACTTAATGCAGTATTAGCTATGCAAATTCCACATCAACTTGAGGGAAAACAAAAAGCTATGGATCTTTATGTTATTTTTCTGAAAGATCATGGTTTATGGAAACGAGTAAGTTTTTTTAGAGTATCAAAGTGCTATAATTGTCAGTGTTTGATGAGCAATTTCACAAGTGTACGTATTTCCAGTTCTGCGCAGTCACGTATCGCAATACGATCTTAAACACTTCGCACGTGCTTGGCGAATTCATGGAAAAAATAATCGCCATGATCGGAATTTACAATTTGCAAATACGGTAAATTTCAAACCATCTGCTTTACACACTTGAATACTTGAGTAGTAAAATTGTACTTATTGATTATATTATAGATATCCGGAGCCTATCGACACGGCAATCGAACGCAGCTTGCAGCCCGAATCTTACGTATCGGAGGACCTGAGTGCGAATGATATATTTTACAGAGAAGTCAGCGAGGTCCACAATTTCTTTTCAAATTTAGTACAAATCGCTGTCGAGCAAGCGCAGTCCGAGAGACCCGCTCAACAGATAGCTCAATACATTTTACAGGTCAACTCGATAATCCTGGTAAGTCTAAAATTCACCTTTAACATTATTTTCAGACTTTTTCTTTCCCCCAGTTAAATTAATTATGAATGAAAATAGATAGAATGTACATGGTGTATGATAAAAGAGATAGCTTATGTAGAATTAGGTATCACATTGAATGTCTCAGTAATAGTGTAAAAAAATTTAATTATTAGGGAATACTGCATGAAGTCGTCAAGTACCGTCAATACAATGCAGAAAAATTTTCACCCCCAAAGACGACCACTTTGACCGAATACTTACCTTGGACGGCGTCTCCCGGAAACTACGGCTTAAAAATTTGTCTCAACTCAATGGTACAATGATGAAAAAATAATTCACTACGAAAATTCACAAAATGACGTATAAATACTTACATAGAAAAATACGTTTTTAGCAAAACTTTACTTTGAAACATGGCGTGCATAACACAAGCGACATGGATATGAAAAATGAATTGTTCGAGCAGCTGGTCGGTTTGATTGATCTAATTTTGGACGGTAGAAAATGCCATTTAGAAAGTGTTAGGAATACAGAAAAGTTCGCACCGCTTCTGAAACAGTACGAAGCCGAACGGTCGAACTTGATTCAACCTCTCAGTAAGTAAATACAAAAAAGGTTTTACTAGTTTCTGGAAAAAAACAGGTTTTTTTTTTATCTACTGTGATTATTTTAAAAATAGTAAAAGAAGAGCAATACGAGAATGCTGTCATGTTGGCTGAAAAATACTGCGATTTCGCATCTCTGATTCAGATTTGTGAATTGACGAACAACAAGAGTCGTCTCGACATGTACATGAAAAAGTTTGCCAACCAAGATTTCGCGGGATTCTTATTTTCATGGTACGTTAAAGAAGGTCGGCCCGGAGAATTGGTAGAAAAATGTCGTCGCGGTGGAGTGAATGAATTAACGGAAAAACTTTTGCAACATCCAATCTTATCTTGGGTGCAGGCTGCTCTGGCTGAAGACTTTGATACCTCTGCACAAACTTTGTACTCCTTGGCTCTCGAGGAAGTGAAACTCGTGACTCGCAAGAAGGTACGGAATATCCTTATTTTTGTAAAAATATCACATTCCAACAAAACTTGATGGCGTTTTATAATTTTTTCAGTCCATGTTATCGCTATCAAAGTTAGCATTTTTAGCTACAGATGATTCTGAAGAAAAGTTGGCAAGTAATATTCAAAATATCGATAAAGAACTAAATCTTATTGCGCATCAAGAAGACGTGCCGATTCATGTTTTGGATAAATACGGTTACGATGTTGAAAAACTTCGAGTTCTCAGTCCTGTCGAGCTTATAAATGTAAATATAACTACTTCTAAAAAAAATTTTTTTATTTCAATTCAATTGATGTTTCCATTTTTTTCAGCTCTACACCTGTATTGAAAATCAAACGTCGAACGAGTACGACTTCAAAAAAGCACTCGATTTATTAGATTACATAGATCAAAAAGAAGAAGAGATATCTTACAAAAACAAAATTTGGGCTCGGGCAGCAAGATGCAACGAATGGGATATGGTCGACAAAAATCCGGAGCAACAGATTCAAGAGACGGTGTTCTTCAAAGTGCTGGATCTCGTTCACGTTATGGGTAAGTTTACCATCTCTATCGAATTACTTTCCAGAATGAAATCATCTTAAAATAATCCTTCAAATGATTTTTTTTTTTTTTTTTTCAGAATACAGAATCAAAGATATGTTACCTCCTATCGAATCAATTTTATCAGAACCAGAACTCGGCGACCTCGCTACCTCCACCAACTTCCAGTATCTAATAAAATTAATATACGAGTTTGCTTACAACAATTACTGTTAACACTAATATCCGTAAATGGCAAGTTATTTTGTAATACATATATTTTGTACGCGGCAGACGACCTATTGTATATTTTTCAGAGTTTGTTGTATAAATAATTTTTTATTAAAATACCAACGTCTGCTGATCATTCTTCACGATCCCCCGTTTTCATCACTCAATCCAGAAAACAAAACGATCAAAGCTTGTTATAAATAAACTTTTTTTTTTTTATGATACTCAAACACTAACATCGTCTTTTATCTATCAAAGTCCTTTACGCAATATACATAAATATTTGTTTAACTGTTGAACAAAAAATATCGAATAAATACCCAATCGTTCCCCCCTTTATGAATAAAATAAAATATGTCAATCAAAACGCGGTAAAAATCACGAGAGCAGCAGCAGTTAAAAAAACATTGGCATAAACAGCGTTCGCCACGGAGCACTGAAAATTCTCCATGCGTATGATGTATCTTACTTGCTCGGGTGACCTGCAACCGAACTCTAAAAGCACAAACAGAAACCGGTTCGTTAAAAGACACATGGGTTTTACTGATGCCAATTTTTTTTTTTTTCTACGCATAACAAGTACCTGTACATTTGGTCAGACTCGTGACGTTCGAAACTTGGATGTACGTGTTCGGACAGTTACCGTTCTCGTCGCACGTATTGTAATCCGACAGAGAGACATCTCCGTGAAGGGGCAGAGCTTTACAGTACGTCCCTGTGCGCTTGCTCGTTGCCCTCCACTGATTCCACCAACATACCCTCAAAGTGCCGTAACCAACCCCGTGCAGCTGTGGAACGGTGTTATATTGTTTCACTTTGAGTTTTTTCACCCGTACACGATTGTATTGCATGAGAAAACGAATAATTTTACCGTCACCACGACTCTCTTGGTTTTAATTCTCCGGTCAGGGTGTAATCTGTACACATTCGACTCCCCTGGATCCACGTAATCTTCCAGTTGCAATCTAACGCCGGGAACATTTGGATTGCACCCCACCGGCCTCAAGGTCATTGGCACTGAAACGAAACGTGAGCTCATCGAATGCACGATCGTTAATCATGAATCAATCAGAGCAGCAACGAACCTTTCGCAAGTAGCCGCGAAATGTCGTCGACCCTCAGCGTTTTCACAATCTGATCCTCGTCGGATAACACGAGCCGCTTGAGGGCGTCGACCCTGGAGTCGCACGTGTAGTACAGAAAGTACACCTCTGCAAAGACAACGCGGTTCAAATGAAATAATTAAATAATTTAAAAAAATCCTACCGGGATGCCTGTCCTTGAGTCGTCTCAAAGCGCTCAGCGCCAGATCGACCTCTGCCTTGGACATCGTGATCCGAGGCGCCAGTAATACAACTGCCTGGCCCATGTCACCGATGGTTTTGCTGTGACGCTTTTCGGCCCAAAATCCGTCCAAGTAGCCCAAGACGCTCTCGAAAACGAGGTGTAGTTTCATATCGGTGGGCCCTGCGATGCGATACGTACACAAATTGCTGGTTTGAAAATCAGTTTTTTAACATTATTATGTTCAAACTACACCGACACTCGATGTTTTTCAAGAGGTAGATCGCGCGATGGGCGTCGGAGGGACTGCTGGTGACGTTCAACAGCCATTGTCCGGTTTCACCGTGCACCATACCGATTCTCGAGCCATACGCCGACACGTCGAAATCCTCGACGAGGACCCTGGAAAGAACGCACCAAAATAACGTATTAGACGACGCTCGCGCGCGGAGCCTGCACCACGAGGGACTCACGCCAAAAAATCGGAGGTGTAGTCCCGCGTCCAGGAGCCGTCGAAGGCGAGCACGAGCTCGAGGCGGGGGGCTCGTTTGACCGGCCCCCGGCACTGCTCCTCCAAGAACAGGCTCTGCTCCGTGTATCGCACAAAGTGCTCGACCGCGTTGACGACGATACCCTGGAGCGCGGCGTCGCTCATCGCCGCGATACTGTTCAGGTAGGCCAACACCTGGGAAGCTGCGTACGTCTTGGGGGAGGGAAGAAAAATAAAATTGCTGGTCCTACATATAGATTTCCTCGTCTCGCCATACCGTACCTGCTCCTCCAGAGTACTCTTTGGGCCGACAAGGGGGAACTGGTCGGCCCGCCTGCAGGCCTTGACCTTCCGGTCGAACACGACGCCTCCCTCGGAGTAATACATGTCCAGCACCTGGCTGAGCCTGAGGCTCCCAAACCTCTGGAGCCACTTGTCCAGGTTCTTGGCGATCACCAGACCTGTTGGGAGAGGAAAGAAGAAAAAAAATCACTCGGCAATTGGTAAAGGTATGTTATTGTACATATTATACCGTCGATGCCGCCAATGATCTCGGCCCGGGTAAAGTCAAAGTGGTCGTAGTCGTGCCAAAAGTAAAACACCCGGGGGCTGATGGTGCTGTTCCAGAAGCCAGTCGCCCCGAGGTACATGCGGCTCTCGTACAGGGGTCCCTGGTATACGGCCAGCTCGGCCAGGTCGCCTGCGCAAAAGCACGAACCATCAGGAATTTGACCATAACCAGTCGAATCTCGCACTATGAAGAACAACCGAGACCTGCGACAGTGGCCGCCCACGCGTTGTCGATCTGGGTATCGGTGATGCCGACGGTCTGCAGCCACATGGAGCTCCGGTCGTTGACTACCTGCTCCCTCGACACCAAGAAATCGTCCTCCTCCAGCTCGGCTCGGTCCGGGTCGACCGGCAGCTCGAGTAGGAGCCGAGTCTTGACGAGCTGGGGCTCGAGAGCCGCGGCGATGGCGGCGAGGACCGTACCCAGGGCCACAGTGTTGTACCGCGTGAGAACGACCCCGGACTCCTTGGGGCACCTGTCGGCCGGCGTCGATATCGATCTGCCTGAGAAGACTCGGTTTTAACAACAATAGACCCCATCGCCGAGGAGGGGGCCGGTATAAGCGCACCTGTACGACATCTCTTTGGCGGACCTTTCCGCGAGTTGGGGCTTGCAGGAGGCCTCCTCGGTGTCGTCGTACCGCTGCCACACGGTGCTCGACAGGGCAAAGTGCAGCAGGCACAGCTCGTCCGGGCGGAGGTAGGCCTCGGGCACGAGGGTCGGGTCGCCACCCGGTATCAGCCGCTCCACCATCAGGTTCTTGGCGCGCTGCGATCCACGGGCCGCGTACCTCAGCACACCCTCGCGCTCCGGCAGGTCGTCCGAGTACACGATCCCGTCCAACTTGAATCTGTGCTCACACACATATATGCATTCCTATACGCTAAGTAGAGAGTACCGAGAGAGAGAGAGAGAGAGATCGGCAACACACCTCTTCAGTAGGGCAGTCGATAGGGTTCGCATGGTTAAGGAGGTGAAGGTTTGCCGCTCGATTTTTCGCAGCACGTCCAGAACGACCTGTAGATTCAGGGGCAGGGAGGGCACGAAGCGCCCGTCGTTCGAGTAGCATCGCTGGAGCTTCGCGGGCAGGGCTCTTTGTGACTCAACCACCCGATTTCCTGGAAACAGGTTTTTGTTTTTTTTTTCATCATCGCTGATGAATCGAAACGTGTACTTATGTGCCGCGCATCTCTCGCAAAAGTTGTTATTAGGCGCGCGTATGAGTAATTGTCGTTCTAATAATAGCGCTTTCGATGATAAACGTTATTAATACCGATCGATTTAAGCGCCAGGGCGCGTCACTCTCGGCTGAAATAAGTGCAATTGGAGCCGAGTTTTAGGGTCACAGGGGGGAGGCGCACACATGGTTCCAAAAGTGCCGCATAACGTCCGTAGCCAATACAATTAAAACACTACCCGAGGAGGCCTCGATTCGCCCTCACGCGAGCTCGCGCCACGAGAAAAAACCGCGATCGATATCGAGTATCCCACTTGTGTGCACTATTTTCTACTTGGTGGTAAAATAAAAAAAAATAAAAAATAAAAAAAAGAAAAAGAAAAATTGACAATTCCCTGATGACGGTGCGAGACGGCTCATCGAATGCACGATCGTTAATCATGAATCAATCAGAGCAGCAACGAACCTTTCGCAAGTAGCCGCGAAATGCCGTATGAGTAGTAAAATTGTACTTATTGATTATATTATAGATATCCGGAGCCTATCGACACGGCAATCGAACGCAGCTTGCAGCCCGAATCTTACGTATCGGAGGACCTGAGTGCGAATGATATATTTTACAGAGAAGTCAGCGAGGTCCACAATTTCTTNAAAAAATAAAAAAAAGAAAAAGAAAAATTGACAATTCCCTGATGACGGTGCGAGACGGTGATTTGTATATACTTACCGGCAAGGGTCGCCAATAGAGCGACGAGGCAGAGGAGAGCTGGTCTCATGGTCCGTCATGATCGAGTAATCCCCATCGTCCGTGTGCAGAAAGCGGACTGAGCCGGCACGTCGATGTGTACACAATAACGGATCGGTATATAACGTGTGTACTATCTCCTTCCATCCGCGTGTACCTCTATATACCACACGACACAGGTGTACCTGCGCGTGTAGCCCACCTACGTGAAGAGGAAAAAAAAAAAAGTGTAACACCTATATGTACTTACGGGGATGCGGAGGCGCGAGCCAGCCTCTCGACATCCGATAAGATAACGCTGTCGTAACAAAGTCAACCGTACAATGGTTGTACGTATGTATAGTGAGGTGGACAGAGACAGCCGAATAACAGGGTGTCCCAGTTATCACCTCACTCTCTCTCTCTCCCTTTTTTTTTCTTCTTCTTCTTCTTCAATACCAGTACACTCATTTGCGCGTACAATATTAGATGTGAAATATATTAGAAGCGGCACGAGTAAGAGTCCACACCCATGAGTCGTGGGCGCTAAATTGTGATCCGCTCGTTGCGATGTTCAGCAAAAGCCAAGTGTTGTATTATTGACGATTTTATCGAGTGCCGCTCTCATACGTACATATGTACCCGAGAGCGGCCGGCTATCGACCGTATATAGCGTTGGATGTCGTTCATCCATGTATACACATAACCGATTATTTTAAAATTACTCCCATCCAAACGGAGTTATTGCACGTTGATTGATTAAATTAAGTCAACGCTTGTACTTCATAGATGTAGAGAAACGCCAAATATTACAATTCACACGCGATACTGTGAGGATGTGAAATTTTCCTTTCCACGTTTTCCTTGCGTTTCGATGAAATGTAAAAAAGTTGAAAAAGAAAATAAAAAGCCACACCTCCCGCGACAGCTCGCACGGACCTCCTTCCTTCCGAAACAGCGAAAGCCGTCCGCTCCCGTATCTTTAGAATATCCGTATGGGTATAATATTTAGTCACCCAAAAGGAGGAAAAAAAAAAAAAAAAAGAGAGCAGGTTGCTCGCCGAGCGCGTACAGAAAAGAGGAGCGGGAGATAAGGAGAAAAAGAGCATCGGCTATTATACGTGTGCTCCAGCGCGTTATCTGCCGCGTTCGGGGCGGGTGTGAGGCATCACCTCGCGAGCTCTAGGGCCCGAAACGAGGCGTGTACTCGCGCAATCTTGACTCACGTCCCGTCGCAGGTGTACGCTCGCGGGACCGTCTCCTACACGGCTCGCGGTCCACGCGATTATTCTATTATCATTTTGTTTTTTCTACTGATGGTGCTTTAATCCGGGACCTTGTTTTTTTTTTACTTGTACCTTTGACCAGTGGTTTTGAACTGGAAAAAAAAAGTGCGGAGCAAAAATGAGGGGGACTCGGGGAGCCGCGATGCTGCTGCTCTGCTTTATCGGTGAGTTTTTTTTCTTTCTCCTGTATACACTTGGGAGCCGGTTACTTCGAACTACGTCGGTACGAATATTACAGCGCTCGATCGGACCCACGTAAATGTCGGCGTAGATCGAAGCAACGGTTTTTTTTTTCCCATCAGACTAAATTCGCATCGGGAATCGATGGATGAGCCATAAAAGGGGCATGATAACGGACACGTAATCTTTTCCGCGCAATTGAACCGTGTGTACTCAGTGTGTCATTCGCATTCCGCGCTAGGGAGATTATTATTATCATTATTTCGTACGCCCGAGAACGATTCCGTACAGAGATTTTTTTATCGACGAAATCGATACGGCTTACTTTTTTTTTTTTAACAAACAAAAAAAAAAATACATCGACATCAGGGTGACCGTGTATACTGTGAATAAAAATTCGCACGGCGCGCGATGATTCACCGTTTACGTGTCGCTCGGCGCTGTAATGGAATTATATATTTGAGTGGGGGGAGCGGGAAAAAAAAAAGGAAAAAAAATGCAATAACCCGCGTTTGTGCACCCAAGTCGCGGGCGCAAGGTCCCAGGAGAACGCGGTCAAAACCCTACCCTCGGCGCTTTTTGAGTGCTACGACGACGAGACCCACAAGGGGTGGAACCAGCTGCCCCACAACATCAAAATCCTCATCGAGATAATCCGCAAGATCGAGGACCACTCGGCCCAGCACGTGAATCTCCTGGACATGCGCTACCTGTCCACGGCCATCCTACATCGGTAAGGAAGAAAAAAAAAATCAACCCTGGCATATATATGTGTCTCCAGTAGTCTTATCGATCGACGGCCTCTCTCTAGTCGCCCCAGTTTCCGATACGCATTTACCAATGTCCACTTGTAGTTGAAAAATTAACTCGCAACGTTGTCGGGCGATATCCCTAGATTCCGCCAGGACGGCATCGTGAGGAATCCGCACGTCAAAGCGCGCGAGGGTATACTCCCTTACGCGCCGCTCGGCAAGCAGTTTTTCCGTCACGCGCAGACGCTGAGGGTTATACCGGGAAACGCCTTCAACTTCCCCAACGACAGCCTCACCCCCATTGAGAGGGTAAGTTTCGAGATGGTTTTCAAATATCTCGTGGATGTTTTCCCATTAATATTGACGATTATCGTCATTGCACAGTGTACACTCCACTCGATGTTGAGCAGCAGCATCGATATTTTTGAGCGCGGCGACGAGAGCCGCACGTGCCGGTTCGCCAACTATGCTTTCCGCAGATTCGGCAGGAGCACCGACGAACGCAATGTCAAGGAAGACGTCGAAACCCTCACCGCCGAGCAAATGTGAAATCGGGCTTTCTGTTGTTGTTGTTTTTTTCCTGTTTTCCCCATACCGATTTAACGTATTTTTACCTTCAGAGACCTAATGACCGGTAAGAGCGGCAGAGACGTGGTGGACCCGAACTCCCTGTACCCTGCCTATCCCAGGAACCATCCGAGCAGCGAACGCCTCGTCAACACTCCACCGCTCAGCAAGTGCCCCATCGAGAACGGCGTCGTTCAAACACCGTAAATACATACGATTATACTACGTATTGACGATCCATCACGAGTAATAACATTAAAAAAAAAACCCCCGATGCGTCACCCACGGCTACGACAAAACCAACACCTACGCGTCGTATTATATATATAAATGTATATCGTAAAATAGGTACAGCGTGTATTTGCGTAGACGATAAAAAAAGAAACGCAATGTGCACACAGGTGGGGCACAGTTTCCGGTGGCTCCGTCATTGCCGGTATAGCCACGGGCCTCGAGCCCATGATGACGAGGATAGACGACCTGATGAAGCAACAGGTCGAGCCGCGCGTGTCCGACTACGCGAGCGACGTAGTCATCGACAACAAGTTCCTCGCCACGCTCTCCGGTACAACCCACGAGTTTTTCCATCCTCGATTTTGCCCCTCGTGATATAAAGGCCGATTTAATTTTGTGTGTAAACCAAAAACAGGTGATCTGGCCGAGGTGGCGCTCAAGCAGGGGCCTCAGATACAGGGCAACCGCTACGTTGTCGGGGTCGAGGGCAACTGGAACTCGACGACCAAGCCGTTGTTCTACTTCTTGAACTCCAACGAGAACCTGGAGATGACGGGGGCCGAGATCCGTGGTGACATTGACGGCCTCATACTCGCCAATCGAGTGCTCCAATACTACGAGAAGTCGCGCAATCTCAGGCTGTCCCAGGTCCTGGACATGTATTACGGCGAGCGCGGCTTCTTCGACAGAAACGTGCGGGCTTGCAAGCGACGCGAGCACTTTGTGACCGTCGCCCCCACTGACACCCTCAAATCTCAAGTGAGCCCAACTCTCTGCACTGCGTTTTGCTAAATAAGTACCTCTTGTGTTGGTTAAACAATTTTTTTTCTCTCTCTCTCTCTCTCTTTACCTTCAGACGCTGAGCGCGGTGATTCTTCTGAATCCTGACATCGGCACCGCGACCTTTTCTTACGAGACAGTCGAGCGCTTTGTCAAGCAGGCCGTCGATGATCTTGGCACCCACATACGTAAGTTGAAGGAAAAAAAATCTCTCCTTGACCATCAGATTGAGAGTATATCTTCCCAATGTACTCGTAGCGACGATGAATCGTGACGAAAGCTGCGACTCCCGGTCCGATTCGTCGTCAATGTCCAATCTGATCAGCGAGACGGCGGCCAATCTGACGATCGTTATCGACACGACCTGGCCATTTGACTCGGTCAACAAAATCCTGTCGCAGCTCCTACTGTCGGGCCAACTCGACGTCAATAAGTACAACAGCCAGTACACCCTCGTCAACGCGGCCACCGGCTCTGTCATGTTCAACTCGAGCCACACCCCCCTTACCACCCAAAACTTTAACCAAACGTTCTACAACAGCCGTTAGTCTTACTATTTCTTTTTTTTTTTTTCTTTTCTTTTCTTCTTTTTTCGTGTACGCAAAAGATAAGCGTTGTAATTTGAAATTTCACAGTGACAAAAGGATTCAATTTGGCCATGACCTTGGACAAACTGCGGCTGATACAGACGGAAAATCTGAACAGGGAGCAAAAAATAGGCTGGGGCGGCGGCAAATCCGACGTCGTTGTTATTGTGGCTTACCACAGCTCCTTGTCGCAATATGACAAGACATACTGCAACGAGACGCTCAAAAGGATGCAGGAGGAGGCTCCTGGTACAAAATAGATAATAGTTAGTTGAGTTATACTTTGGAGTGTATCGATAAAAATTTCGACTTACCCCATACAGATGCGACATTCCTGGTACTGACGTATGGCGCGAAGGATCGCTGGTTCGAGGTGGTCGTTAATCCCGACGATGACATCATATCCATCAATACCAGCGAAAACTCCGAGTCGTTTTCAGCCGTCGATGCCCTCGTTACAAGAATAAAACAAGGTGATGATATTCCTCTAATGGTGATCTTTCTTTTTGCGAACGAGACTACTTGACATTTATTAAATTTTTTTTTTTTTTTTTTGTTATCAGTGCCAAGACGTCTCATAAACACGCAATGCGGGGCGAGGTTCGAAAGAATTGGAAATTCTCAGTCGAGTGCTATGAAAGAGACGGTCGCACCGGGTGGCATTAATTATTACAGAATGCATCCAAACTACTTTTTCTCCGATAGTGACAATCCGCCAAAAATAAGAGTAAGAAAACAAGTATTTTTTATTTTCAACTCTACATGGGACGACTACGTTTTTAAATAAGTTACATGTAGAAGCTAAATATTTTGCGCCTCTTGTCTTTAGGTTCAGTCACTGGACGGCAATTCACTCTCGGTGTGTACATCGTCGGAACTTCTCCACGAAAACGCAACAGAGGCCCAGGCCAGGGCCAGTTGTGAGACCGTTAGGTCCGGCAGACCTCACATCATTACCCTGAGTTGCGGTTCAGCTAGTTACATCAGTGAATGCAAGCCGTTTTACCTCTCAATCTCCGCGAACGTAACAACCACAAACACATACGCTTGCAGCGGTAAGTACGAGCAAAATAAATGAGAAATAATTTCTTGTATATTCACCTGTTGTTTGGATTTATTATTTTAGATTTGGTAAAGTGCAGATATCCAGACAGTGTGCAATTTTCAGTTTCTTATGAGAACCTCGTCTGCAAAAGCGATGCGAGCGCATTGCTCTTTTCGCCGTTGATTATGCTACTGATATACATATTTGCTCATACTTTATAATAAAACATCGTTTCCTCATAATCATTCAACATCGCCACTGCCACATAATCAAGGATAATACGCCAGTTTCACTTCACCCCATTCGTCGTACATCGGAACAAAATGAATATGCGACTCGTAGAAGTTTTTTGTAAAAGTCTATTTAAAAAAAATCTTTTCCAAAAGATTTAGTCTTAAGTCTATACATTATGTACAAATTTTATAACGATTTTTTTCACAATTACTATTATACAATATAACAATGTATTTTTATCTTTTAATATTTAACTAGGTTTATATTTGTTTAAATAAACGGCTTACAAAGGGCTACCATGTGATCAACTCCACAGCAGGCTTTTTGCACCAGTGCACCGATTGATACCTAAAACAGATGATTTTTTTTTTCCTTATTGAAAATGTATTATTCTCCGTAGCACACGAACAAACGTCGAAACTTACTCTCAGTGGAAAATATTGATCGTTTCTGCTTCCGATCCCGAGGGTCCCGAATTTATTTCGTCCCCACATGTAAAGATGTCCATAATTTGTAATTGCTCCTAATTGACTGACTCCACAGAATATTTTGACAACTTTTGAATTGGGCTCGTATGGGTTTGCGCCAAACAGAGTTTTGGGAATGAGAGTTGGTTGTGTAATGCTTTGGACATCGGGACCAAGACCAAGAATACCAAAGCCCCAGACGAAAACTTCTCCTTGGCTGTTCAATGCCATACAAAAACTTCCTCCTGCAGCTATATCTACTATTTCGCCCAAGCTGTTACATGCTTTTACTTCAATGGCTAGATTAATTTGCTGATTGTGCCCTAAAGCTGGTAACTGCCTGTATTCCGAGTTTCCCCAGCCAAACACTTTGCCTTGGTCTGAAAGTGCAAGAACGCAATCTGCTGTACAAGCTAGCTTTATGATTTTCTGCCCCTGAATGGCTCCCTTGACAGCTGAGGGTTTGTACTCATTGTTATAGTGTCCCAAACCAGTCTGACCATCAGCACCCCAGCCAAATGCATACACTTCTCCTTTTTCAGTCAAGACCATGCTTTAAAAAAAAAAAAAAAATTGAATTCGTTATTGACCGAATCACTGCTTCTGAGAATAGGCAGAAGATTCTTTTGGTATTACCTATGATCTTGTCCGGCATATACACCAGTGATCTTATCACCTCTTACATCTGGAATGTAACTAACGGCCTTGCTGTGCAGATAATTCTCGTTACTAATAATTGGCCTACCACACTGTCCATAACCATTGTTCCCCAAGGCGTATAATCCCTCCTCAGTCAAGACAAGCAAATGAGCTCTACCAGCAGCAAGTCCCAGAACCTTGGTGGTATTTCCCTTTATAGGAATATGTATGGGCCTTGGTTCTTTGATTATTGGCACTTTTAACTTTTCATCTTTGAGATTGTAGCCTAATTGTGAGTCCGAGTTTATTCCACAGCCAAAGACAATCTTGCTGTTTCCAGTTTTGAGAGCAAATGCTGTAAAACCATAGCCACAGGCGACATCCTTCACCCTGCGGAATTCCCCAAAACTCAATCTGTGCGGAACTCCGGCATAAGGTGTACCATTGTCAGCAAAGGAGATTTTTTTATCAACACCCAAGGCTCCATGTTCTTGCAAACCCCAAGAGTAGATTCTGTAATCCGTTGGTCTACTCCTTGGGTAGTCATAAACTGAAAAATACAAACAATTCGAAATTTGAGGTTAATTTTTTTTAAAAACAATAAAACACTTTACACTGCAAATGCAAGTATATATTTAAAATACAGTGTGAGAATGTTGAGAATTTAATGGTTATTATTACTTGGCAGCGTGCTGGTTTTAATTTTTTTCGCATACAACGTCTTTGATTTGACTAAACTTCTTTTCTTCTTGCGACTGACGGCTTTAGTTGCGAAATTTCTCATCACGTTCAACACACCAAACATTATTTTTAATTTTATTCGTAAACACCGCAGGCAATAAGTATATAACTTAATGTATTTATTGTACTTTTAATCTGATGAATATAACACAAACACACATGCCTCTGGCACCGCAGCAGACGACATTTTCCCGGTGAGAAGTCAGTAAAAATTTGGTCAATTCAGCTCTGAGTATACGTTGTTGTTAAAGTCACGTGACCTAATTGGCATTGGGTAAGCCGATGATCGCTACGCATGATATTAATTAATCTGTATCGATCACAATCATTGATCGAATATGTTTACTTGTATAAGATAAAAAAAAAAAAAAAAAAAAATTTTCACTCAAATTATTTTATAATGTTTCGTAAAACTGTAATAATTTTAAAGTATATAAGAGCTGCAGGAATTTTTGAGGGCACTGATTACTTGGTATGGACGAATACTTGATGTGTGAAGAAATAATAAATAAAACAATAAAAATAAAAGATAAGGTTATGATTTTTCGTATATTTTAGATAATTCGTTATCTGAATTAATACATGATATAATATACATTACAAGTGAGGATACAGAAAACTGTACAAGTATCTTAAAGTGTTTCGTGTAGTTTTTTAGAAATACATTTCATCAATCATTAGAATTCAAATTTGTACTTCAACTCAATATCATTACTTGGAAACTGTGTACTTTGTGGTTTTTGGTGCTGTGGTATTTTTTATTTAAATTTTCTATAACCAACAAGTAAATTTTAAGAAAAACGCGATGCCGTTGAAAATAACTTATTTAACTCTGACAATCCCATAAATTTGTATGATAATTAATACAAACGTTGTCATCGAACCAAACACCTGCAAAATTATCACATGAGTGGTATACATTACATACTCGGAGATTTCAAGCAATTTTAAAAATATCAGTTAAAATCCCTAAAAAATTAACTGTTACTACTTTCTATCATGATTTTTTTGAGATTTCGACTGCATTTCGTGCACAGACTTACAGACAACAGTAAGCTTTTATTTAATTTTGTCAAGCCGGCAGCGGAAAAATTAAAATTTTCATACAGCAAGGTAGTTGAAAAAAGTCGTAGCTGTAAAAAAAAAAAAAAAATCGAAATTAATGTTAATTCACATTACGCGCATTTGTTGATTACGAATATAAGTTTAGGAACTCTTTCAGCGAAATCGTCATCTTCAGACTCATCCAGCCATTTGGTAATAATAGCAGCCGTTTTTTGTCTCTGTAACATATTTTTCCAGAACATGTAAGGCCTACGAATTTTGAACAAAATCTTCAAAATAAACAATTTTTCATTTGTACAAGCAAATAACATTTACCTCCGAAGTAACCGCAGAAACTGATTTAGTTAGCACAATAAAAGGAAACATGGAATCAACTATTTGCATAAAAAACTGAGCACAGTTGAAGAAAATAAATTTTTCATTCGATCTCAAAACTTGTATCAAAGAGAAAGAGTTGAGCGTCAAAGATGTGAGTAAATGCAGTATGTCCAATACCATTGGTCTCGAATAATAATTCGATATACATCCAGACAATTCGCCGATCGACACAAATTGTTCTCGTAAGTGTAAAAACCGGTCGGATTGAATTCGTCTCGAAAATTTCTTGCTAGCCGGCAGGGTAAGGTAAAAAATTTTTTTTTCCCTCGACATCTGAAGCAAGTCGCTGTTCAATTGGTTCATGAGCCCGGAAACGCAGTTCAAGACCATACTGTATTGCAAAAAGAACAGTAAGACGACGATATCACACAGAGTTGTGGGAAAAAAATAGATGATCTGATCCCTCGACAGCACTGGAACTATTGCAAACGTAATACACCAAATTAGAGTACAAATGATCATATCAGTTCGATTGATGCAGGTATTCCAAATAGTTTTTTTCTTTTTTATGAATGCAAAATTTATTGATGATGATAGTTTTTGCACTGTGTTAAGTATTAGTATAGCCTTGTCTTGAAAATAACAAAATTCGATTAGTGTAAATATTGTTGCAGTCACTCCCAACGAAATATCGTAAATTTCAATTTTATCGTTAAAACCATGTGGAGCATCAAAACCACCGTAACTCGAATAGACAACGTATACATTGGAAAGGACAGCGATGATGCACAAAATGACATTGTATGCGACACCGAACATTGAAGAACTCAGCTGAGCGTACGTTCTATTCTTAAGGTCAATGACTTTGTAATTATAAGGCATCAATCCAAAAACTTTGAAAAAATAAAAAATGACGGTAACGCTGCCCTCAACGGATGATTTAAAATTCATGATTGTAGTTGGCTATATATTCGACGAAAAAATTCCAGTTGACTCTATGAAAGAAAACAAAGTGCAACTACATTCATTTCGAAGCGTACAATGTATTGATTTTCTAATCTGATGAAGTATAGCATTGGTATAATACAATATTAGGTAATAATGATATGTTGTAAAACTAATTTACCTCCTTTTGTGTGAAAAATTTTATTTGAATGGCAATTTAATTGATTTTTTTATACAAGGGCTATTATTTTTGTAGGTATATGCATAATGTAAAAAAATAGTGTACATTTTTTACTATACGACTGAGTTTTTATTAAATGTCATGGTACTGGCATTAAAAGTTAAAACTCCATCAAGTGTTGGACTTATCACTATGCTACACGTGTTAAATCTTGATGCACGCAAGGACATAAAAAAATACGCTGTACATAATACTATGGATGTAACAGTATAATACGAATAAATGATAGGTTGTCCAACTAGATTACCTACTGTGCTGTAAACAATTTCATTCAAAAATCTATTTCATTGATTTTCATGCACACGTGTTATTTTGTCACACATGGATAATGTACAAAAATAATAGTGTATAATGTCTACCATATGACTAACTAATATGTTAATAATCGTGATGATACTAATGCCAAAATTTTATACTCTGTCGTGTGTTGAATCTTGATGTAGGTATATCTAATGACAGAGAAAATAATACTGTGCGTATGCCTTTTCAATTAGGTTTGTAGCCTTCGAGTTATGTATATGACTTATTATATACCCTTCATGGAAATATGGATTTTATCGCATTTATTTTTAAAGCTCATTTGAGTTTATATTTTGTTAAATCTAAAATACATGTACTGTTAAACATATATACCTATGCCTGTAAAGATACTTTTGAGCCTCGAGCCACTTTTTTAAGTATCTACTTTTCGACAATGATAAAAAATATAACTAACAAAGTGTTTTACAATAGCTCGGTGGATTAATTTTTTTAAACTGGTTACGCACAGTTACCGTCTTGCAGTTGCAAAACGATAACCATGTACGACGTTATCGAGCTCAAAATCTGAAATAAAAGAAAGTTTGAGTTCTCTGGCGAAGACTCGATTAGATTAACGTACCGACATCAACAACGATTCGTCCAACAAAAACAGTTTTTCCGCTGTAAATTGCAAGGGTTGATGGAGCAAGTAATTTGAAAAGTGGTGTAACTTCATATTAACGTGCAAACTGTCGGACTTACTCATCCACCTGTTGATGATTTTTCCCGTATTTTTTGTCTGAAAATGTTTGATGCGACAGTTTTTACTATTTAAATGTAATTAATTTATTTTTACTCACCTCTAAAATTACCGCGGATGTTGATTTCGTCAATAAAATCAACGTAACGATAAAGTAAACGGTCTGAATGATGCAATGGCCGACAATATCAGGAGATAAACTCTGTTTTCCCAGGACTATGGGCTTCCCTACATAATACACGTATCTGACCAAGGATACAAAAATGTACGACATTGCCAGTATCATAGGGAAAGAATAAAAGTTGGAAATTTTTTCCGACAAATCACACGCCGCCGTATGTATTTCGTGCAGACAAGAAAACTGATGCATTTTCATGATGGTGTGATGTGTAGACTGGACTGATTGTATTCGACTGGAACGAAGCACATCGTTCGAAATTTGCAAAAATTTTGCATTTACGGTTTTTAGGAGCTGCTGAATTAATTTCAAGACAATGCTGTACTGGATCATCATGTGATTCACTATTATGTCGCAAAGGTAAACCGAAAAAAAATAGGACAGCTCGTTTCGAACGTCCATCGGATTAACGATCTTCAATCCAACGAAGGACGCAATCGTCGGCAGGTATGCCCTTTTTATCACCCATACCACTGTCTCTTTTTCGTTGCAAAATTTGCACCCGACATGTACCAATGACTCCTTGATGGCAACGACATTATTAGCCATGCTCGCAATTTTTTCGTGGTGAAAGCTGTACGTGGCAATTATGGCTCCTGTGGTGCAAGCGGCGAACATCGCGCGGACAATGTCGATCGATGTGTCGAACTGAGCGCTTCCCGGAAAATTGTGTATGAAAGTTGTCATGGTGTTGAAGTAATTCGTTGCTATGATGAAAAGTATTAAAAACACGTTGTACAATACGCCACATTTTTCGCGACAGAACAATACTTTGTTTTCCGGTTTTGACTTTAGGTGCACGGGAGAAAGGCCGATCGTTTTAAAAAAGTAAAACGTAAACTTGGTCATTCGCACTCCAGTGGGAAAAAAATTTTTTAAGCTCATTTTTTCCCACCCAAAACACTGTTCGACGATCCACGAAGGCAGTAAACGTTCAAAGTGCAATTTTACCATGAAAAAAAAAAAAAAAAAAAGTAATGTCCCAGTCTGAATATAATTTTTCAATGAAATGACCACACCTGTCAAAGACAAGCTTTTAATGATTGAATCGCGCGACAAATGGGCGGATATCGATCTTTAAACCAATTGGGTAAATTCAAAGTGCTCCGTAACTTATTAGTTGAAGCACTTAAGGAAAACAAGCACTCGTCCACGAATAGACGTATCGATTTCACCCCTCCAAAGACAAGTACAGTTGTGAAAGTTTGAAATATGTTCATCCTCTCGTTTTTATTATTCATTTAATATCAGTGGTACAACATGAGGTTTAGACAAGTGAAATCAATTGTAGCAGCCATTCTCCGACGCCCTGTTCCGAATGTTGAGCACATCGGCAACCTGTTGGTAAATCTTGTACCTATTCTGCGCCCTCTCGTTCGGGCCTTTCGAGCACTCGATGGGCCCGTTGATGGCGCGAGTGGTGGCCCCAAATTGGTTCGGACTCTTCCTCAACTCCGGCCTGACCCTGTCCTTCCAGTACCAGACGCTCGTGTCCATGGCCACCTTGGTATCCTGAGCCACGACCTCCGGATGGTCGAGCAAGTAGTCCCCGAGGTTCAGAGCGCGCGAGGCGTCCCTGTAGTTGCGTCCCCAGGTCAGCTGTATGAAGCCGCGGCCGTAGTAATTCTTGTTGGGCCGGCCGATGTCGTCCTTGTACAGACCCTCGCAGTGGTTGCCCGTCGTGCAAACGATTTCTTCGCGATAACGAAAGCCACCGCTTTCGTGGATGAGCTGAGCGAGCAGCATGGCTGGAAAAAAATATATACCCACGAGCGTTGGCTTGCTGCGGCGCCGTTTTTTAAATTATACCCGCAAAAATTTACCGATTTCTTCGCGTGTAAAGTCAGCGGTGGCCCTTGCGAAGTTCGGGTAGATGTCGGCCGCCGGCTGGGGCGAACCAACGCGTTGAAGGACGCTGTTGAACTCCTGCTGTGTTATCACAGCTGACATACTGCACCCCAATTGAATGGAAGCAACGAGTGCTAAGATGAACAGTTTCATGGCTTTTCTCGAGTGGCCGTATAATTTTGAGAGTGTACAAGCGAGAAAAAAATAAATAAATGAAAACGATGCACCTCCGAGCTTGTACGGAACGAGGGAGTCTTGCGAAAGTGCACTCGAGCTCACTTTTTATTAACAATAAGTAAGGTGAGCTCGCTCGGCGTTATCTCAACCGCCGCGAATGACAAATCCACGAGTCAGCTGTGAGTGATTGGTGCGAATTTTTTTTCAGTTACCGATTTGGGAAAAATTCATCCATAAATAATACATTAATGCAGACCTTGAAAAATAAAAACCATGTCAGGAAGAAAAAGTACAGATAATACCGTGGTTTAAAATATTTAAAATTATTATGAGATCGTTAAATCACGGCTGTTTCGCAATACTTTTAGTGCGATATTTTGTTCATTCGTTCGTAACTCGTAAAAATTACTCTAGAAAATTTTTCTTACAATCAATGTTTCTTTGTACATTTTCTCAAATATGTTTAACATGAATTTTAATAATGGACTTTGGCGAAAATGCATTAAAAATTAAGAATAAATTGCTTCTGAAAATATCGAATTATATCAATTTAAGGTCAAACTTCTAAATCTCTCCATTTTCTATACTTGCTTTTAAAAAAATTTGGTTTTATTGATGCGTTGAGAATGTCAACTCTTCGATTGCTTGTTTGTTAGAAGTATTTAAACAACTGAATTCACGGTGCATGTAAGTATAAATGTTTAACCCGAAAAATTATTTCAAAGAAAAGTGTTTTAGTTAGTTTCTCACGATATTTGAAAGACAAAATCTTCACTCTGATAAAAGGAATTTATCATAAAAATTTTGTTCTTGCGTATGAGATCAATTATTTTTACTTGTAGTTTTTTGGTAATGAAGCAAATTTTCTTTTTTTTTTTTCTAAGGGTAAAAATACATTTTTTAGGGTTGATGGAGCAAGTAATTTGAAAAGTGGTGTAACTTTATATTAACGTGCAAACTGTCGGACTTACTCATCCACCTGTTGATGATTTTTCCCGTATTTTTTGTCTGAAAATGTTTGATGCGACAGTTTTTACTATTTAAATGTAATTAATTTATTTTTACTCACCTCTAAAATTACCGCGGATGTTGATTTCGTCAATAAAATCAACGTAACGATAAAGTAAACGGTCTGAATGATGCAATGGCCGACAATATCAGGAGATAAACTCTGTTTTCCCAGGACTATGGGCTTCCCTACATAATACACGTATCTGACCAAGGATACAAAAATGTACGACATTGCCAGTATCATAGGGAAANCAGCTTTTTTTTAAAAACTTTTATGTATCCTTAGTAAATAGATTATTTCCCTCGAAGATGTAATTTTTTTTTTTAAATCAAAGATTAAATTAAACTCAACCGACATTGTATTTTTTGAGCTACGATCTATCAACTGCAATGACCTTTGCAGTGGCCTTAGTTAAATGACTTCGTTGTTGGAATATCTTCAACTGTACGTAGCGATTCAATTCAAATCATACAGGAATTGAATTGCTAAACAGAAGATGCTTTCATAAGTAAGTATATAAAGATAGACGGACTATTGTCGCGTAGTAATGTACCGATGATCAACCTTGTATCATCGGCAAAATGTAATTTACAACTGACACTTGAATCTCACAAAGTTTAGCTACTGGTTAATTTTCAAGTAACAGTCTTATACAAGTGCTATAGAGTACTTATAATATAAAGCAAGTGGCAGTGTCAAAGGTAGGTCGTGAAAATGCCAGGCATCATCGAAAAGTGGGATGAACAAGTGATTGTGGAAGACAATCATTCGAATGCGATAGAAACTGAGATAAACAAAAATACTAATAGAATAAAAGTGATAGACGAAACGCCGAATGCCGAGGCAGGCAAAACAAAGAATAGGAAGGAAAAGTTTGGTTTTTTCAAGGAAATACACTGGACGAGAGCACTAGCTGTTGGTTGGTACAATATATTTGGACTGTACATATTATTTACGTTTCCTTATCTACAAAAATGGAGGACCACAATGTGGGGTAAGGATTTACGGACATTTTGTTCCAAATGATAAAAAAAAAAGTAAAAAATTTTTAAAACCGTACAATGACCGTACATTTTAGCACTTTTAATGGCAAATTTATCGATATTTGGCATCACCGCTGGTATTCATCGTCTGTGGAGTCACAAGGCTTACAAGGCCAAAGCACCCCTACGAATCGTTCTTGCGTTTTCGTACATGGTAGCATCTCAGCTAAAATGTCCTATCGTACAATTTAGCCATTAATACTGAAAAAAGTGAATTTTTCGATTTTCAGATACCTTTCAAGAAATGGATTCTTTACCACAGATTACATCACAAATACACTGGTTAAAAGACATTTATTGATCAATAAAACAAAAAGTATGAATAAAAATGAATAAATTATTTATCTGATCTTTTTAAGACACGGATGCTGATCCGCACAATAGCACTCGGGGTTTTTTCTTCAGCCACGTCGGATGGCTGATGGCCAAGAGGAACCCGGCTGTCATCGAAAAAATGAAAACGATTGACCTGAGTGACATCAAGGCCGATCCGATTGTCAGTTTTTGCAACAAGTAATGGAACAAGAATACCTTCAACGATATACTTCCATTCGACAGTATTAGATAATTTAAAAGCATGATCCTTTTTGCAGATACTTTTATTATTTCGTTTTGGTAATATGGTACATCACAACAGCCGTGCCCGTGTACGGATGGAACGAGGATTGGTACTCATCTTTTTTGTCTCAATACTTGAGATTCGTCTATGCACTCAACGTCTCGTGTTGCGTGAATAGTTTTGCTCACATGTTTGGGTACAAACCATACAACTCGTACGTTGTTATTTTTATCCATCGATAACGAATTAATTTATCACGTATAAGACATAAATAAAAGGATAAAATGTTTTTAGAACAATAACTGCAACGGAACACGCGCTGACTTCTTACATGGCACTTGGCGAGGGTTGGCACAACTACCATCACGTGTTTCCGTTTGATTATCGCACGCCGGAGTTGATGTTTGATGTCACTGCTCATGTGCTACACTTTTTTCAAAAAATGGGATGGGCTTATGACATGAGGATAACCAAAGAATCTGTGATCATTGCCACCATGAAGAGAAAAGGCGATGGATCGTATCTAAACGCCGTAATGTCCTGACCAACTGAATTAAATTGTGATACGAAAACTTTTTATCCGAAAATACTACTTTTATACATGCTGAAAAAAAAAAAAAAAAAAATTACAATAAAGATTAAATGATTCAAAGCATGCAAATGAGCCAATCATATTTATTTCTCCGATATTCCCACACTTTGGTATAGCTTTGTAAAAGAAAATGCCCTCAGTATTGATTATTGAGGCGTAAGGCACGAATCGTAGCATCCGTTCTCTTTCGACTTGTTGGTAATACCCAGGACCTCCGCCACTTTCAAGTAAATCGAGTACCTTCGCTTAGCTTGCTCGTTGACCGCGCCAACGCACTCTTGGGGATTGATACCCACGGTGGTAAGGCCAAACATTTCTTCCCTTCCTTTCAACAAAGGCCTGACCCTGGCAATCCAGTACCAAGCGCTCACTTGCATGGCCACGCCCTTGTCACTAGCCACGAGTCCAGGGTACTCGAGCAAGTCCTGCTCGCGCATGCCAATGCCCAGAGAAGCCAGCCTGTAATTACCAGCCCAGGTCAGTTGTATGTATCCGCGGCCGTGGTAAGACCTTCCAGGTAGGCCCTGGCCGTCGTCGTAGACACCCTCGCAGCTGTTGTTTCCCGAACAAGCTGGACGGAGGAAGGAAAGAAGAGAATATGCCTACGTCCGTTGTGCCATGGTCAAACTGATTGGACGTGTACCTATTTGCTCGGTGTACTCGAAGCCTCCGCTCTCGTGGATAAGCTGGGCGATGAACATGGCGGCTTCCTCGCGAGAAAAGTCGCCGGTGTTCTCGGCAAAGCGACGGTAGATTTGGTCATCCGGTGCCGAGTATCCGTTAACCGTCACCGCCAAATTAAATTCTTCCTTGGTCAAAACAGTACCAACCGCCACGCTGGTTGTCAATGTGAGAAGCGACAAAACAACCTTTGGACTCATTTTCGATGATTGAACAATGTGGATGGTAGCATAGTTGCAACACTACTGTCAACAATACCGATCATGATACAGCTAAGCGTTAGATGCAATGCACTCTTCCGTACTTCATTATCTCTGTTTGTATTCCTCGCGGTAAAAATTAATCGATATGCACTTTTGCACGATTTTCATCACTGTCGTTTCATAAACATGGCGATGTGATAAGAATTCTTGCAGTACATATACGTTTTTTCATACATCACACGCACATTTTAATCCGACCTTTCAATAAACCTTGTAGCAATCGCAGGTTATTTTTATTGGTGCAAAACAAAAACATGATTTTAAACATCTGCCACGGCAGGTCAAGAGTTATTCTTGCACTTGGGTGGAGTAGCTTTACGATTTGGCTAAATCTAGAGTCAAGAGGAGGATATCACCATGGCCTAGCTCATAGGGAGTCTCTATGGAATTGGGTCTTCCAAACAAATGTATACGGTAACCCCCAGCGTTGTAATTTTTTCCGGGTGGGTCTACTTCGTTATTGTATCTGCCATTGGACTTGTGACTCTTGCATTCAGCGAAATAGCAATTGTTTGTGAGCGGCATTAACGTTATCAGCTTGGATGAAGATAAAATTTCAAACATTTGTGTTATTATGATTGAGAACAAAGAATGGAGCTGTGAAAAACTGCGTTAAGAGTACGCTATGCAAACAACCGGAACCAGAATAATCCAAAAGTATAGTCTTGTTGTAAAACGTTGTTTTCAATGATTTTTTTTTTTTTTTTTTTTTTTTTTTTCAAAATACTTTGTTTGCTAAAAACAGTACATAAGAAAACGTGTACGCACTATTTATTATAGCTCGAAAGACGTTGAATCAAATTTATCGTAGATGTTGTCGAGTAGGAAATCTTTAGCGTTTTCTCGAATTCATCTACTTTTTTTTGTAATATTTAATTTCCACTCTTAGGAAAAAATTTATTTTATGGTCAAAAAAATTATGACGAGCAAAAATAATTCATCTGACACTCAATGCAAGACTGATGTTTATTCCGATAGTCTACTTTCATTCTAATTTTATTCATTACGTATTCCACATCAGAATTAAAAATTTGTTTTTTAAAAATCGTGAGAAACTAGTTAAATACTTCTGATTGAACCTTTTCAAAGTATCTGAAACCGATTTTTCAAAAGTGAATGAAAAAGGCGATAATTGAGAAGTTTAACACTCGATTGTACAATTGCATAATACATTTTTTTTTAATTTTAGTTTCGTTTCTCATCCATCGATTAAATCGTCAATCGACATATTGAGTAACTGAAATTTTTTTAAAGTGATTTATTTTCAGTTGTTCGACAAATATAAAATTTATTCTCGATTATAAAATGTATGTAAAATATATTCGGGGTAATAGATAAATAAATATTTATGACAAGAAAAAGCATAACTATTCTCTAGATCTAGTAATAGACAAATCAAATATGATGCTAAAAATATTGCAGCAGTAATTATTTTGTAATCTAATTATTTTTATTACCTCTTTTCAATATTTTTAAAGCTGGTACTTTTAATACTTTTTCTTCTTAACGATGTTTGTAATACTAGTAAAATGAAGGCCAATCGACCATAAATTTTAAAATGGTATTAACTCTCTAAAAAGGTACGAAATATATGTATGCGCACTTTTATAAAGCAGTTGTAGATTCGCGTGTCTATTTATACTTATTCTTATTACCTCATACTCATAATGTCAATAATGTACTTTAAAAAAATAGAAAACAGGTGTATTACATTATTCAATTATTATTTAAATTATATCGCTTATGCTGTTGGTTTTATGGCACACTTTTTTAAAAACATGACATAAAACATGTGTTACAATATTTCCAAATGGTTTTTCACAAGGTTACGAAATTAATTAATTTTTCAATTCAAAAACTTGTTTTTACAACAACGTACAACTTATCGTTGCCCTCTTGTGCTGATCGTACCTACTAAGCCACTAATGCTCACCATTTTCTCCATCCTTACGTACAGATGGTTCCCTTAATGGTTTACCTTACCAACTGCTGTTTAAAAAAAAATTTCAAATTACTTGTATAATTAAATTAATGCTCATTCGATTTTCATCTCATAATCGTACCCATATAAGTTATATTAGTACACTGTTTCTTCTAATTACTTGAATTATCTTATTTTTTTACGAGGCCCTAATACTAATACGCTCGACAAATTTGCGATAGAGGGCAGCTAAAGTCAAGTAATTTTCGTCGATAAGTAGAAGTTAATCATTTTTAACGTTATTAATAGCTGAATTATTTTTGATAAAGAAGTAGAGATTACGTAATTGAAGCAGATAATTTTACATACGTTCAGGCTTATACTTGGCAAATATTTTTACGGACGGGTACAAATGACACGAAAAAAGGAATTTTTTAAATAATTTTTTTAAATCTTTGTGAAGGTCCGTTGTTGTTATGAACGACAAATCAACGAAACACGCAACTATATTTTGTTGTACGAGTACACGTATGGGATTTCGTGACGCGAAAAAAGTATAAATTCATAATTTCAGAATTCAACAGAAATGATAATAAACGGATAATATTTTTATTTATTTTTGTATAGAAAGGATATATGTGTCGCGGATTCACATATCCTTTAGATATGCTCTATGGACGCGTTTAAACGAGCACTCGGAATCGGTGTAACGATGAGAATATTAGTTGATACAATTGATCTAGACAAATTGTACTCATTTAAGCGACATTGTACTCGTATAAGTGTTGTTTCGATGCATGCATTTATAAATTTGTTTTTTTTTTTAATCGCTATCGAGCGATGATTGAGGGTAAAATTTCATAGTTACGCAAAATAAAAGTAAAGATGCAAAAACGAGAAAGCCAATAAAAATGTGAGAACCTAATCGTAAAGTTCATCGACTCGCGGATCAGAGTCCAGGGCTCATCTCTCACCTACATAAAATAACGCGTGGCACGAGCGACGAGACAGAAGAAACTTTTCTTTCGGGTCGTAATCGTTCGCACGCGCGTATACACATTGTATATATACGGGTCTTCGGTGCGCCGATCGCCGTATAATCCCCACATGGTGGTATAACGAGGCGAGACAGCCGTGCGGACAGAGAGGCTGGAGAAAAGATCCACGGGAGATACGCACCTGAGGTGTATGGACCTGTTCTCGCGTTAACAACCGAAACTCATAAAGACGTTTAAGTATGGGCCTAAAGGAGGACGATTCTCTCCTCCTCAGATCTCCAAGTTGAGATGCGACATGCTGTGCCCCCCCCCTCTCTCTCTCTCTCTGTCTCCTTCGTTTATACCCGTGCGAGAAGAGAAAAAAAAAACAAAAAAAAAAACAAAAAAAACAAAGGAACCGAAGAGGCCGATAAATAGACTTACTCGACTCTGCCCTTCGGGAAGTGCATCTTTGACTTGACGACCATCTCGGGATTCCCTACATGAGTTTCATTGTTTATTCGTCGATGCTCGCTTCGAGTGGAAATCGAAATTATTACGCGCCGTCGGCTTCCTTTCATTCCTCAAATGCAAAAATAACGTCTTTGCTTCTCAACCATCATCGGAAGAGTGTATATATATACACAGGTATACAAATAGAAGCCGATTGAACACCAATGTCTTAACATGTAACGTGCATATACGACACGAGCTCGAGGTCGTTTCCCAAGCGCCAGCGACCAAATTGTTATTCCACAGGTATTGCAAGAGGGTGAAACAAAAAAAAAAAAAAAAAAAAAAAATCGGCAACTCTGAACTCTCCGAAGGCCGAGTCACGTGGGTGCGAGTGCATTTATGTACAATTACGCGGGTTGCGATGGCTCATGCTCGCATCGTCACGGCGCTTGCACTTATCCTGCACGACCAATGTAAATATCTGCAAGGGTGTACAACATAAATGTATATATATAATATACTTGTACACGACGAAAAATCGCAGGGCGATTTGATGGGCAGTTTGTGCACCAGACTGCACTGGCGCTAGTATTGTGATTCGGAAGGAGGGGCTCGCTGAATTTTAATATCGAAATTAATTAGAGGCCCTATGTGCATATATATATATACCGGCGCTACCGGCCGCCTCCTTGGCGCACACGAGAGAGGGTTATCCGGCTCTTGGTCTGTAGGTACCTACTCTCTCTGCTATCGTTTTATTTGCTCGTAATTACAGAATGGAAGTACTTAGCATTTCCGAGGCGAATGATACCTATCTCTCTCTCTCTCTTTGCTGGCTGGTGCAGTAAGTATTACCGTTCCGAGTCGCGAGCGCCACCGCGGCGTCACGACCGCGTGCACCCATGGGGCTAAGCTTCTTATTCCCTCTCTCTCTGTCCCCTCTTTGGTTATTTTTTCTCTTTTTTTCCTATACTTACCTCTGCTGCTCTGATCCTGTTTTTTTTCCTCTCTCTTCTATTTTCCCTGCCTTTGTCTCGGGTCCTTTTCTTTCCCTTTGCTGTTCTCCAAATGGCTGTTCCAGCCCGAGTATCGTGAGACGGAGGACAATTGCAACGGGCAATCTCCTAACGTATACCCACCTGGTTCATCGAGTTTTCCGATATCGATAGTCTTTTTTTTTTTTTTTTTTTTTTTTTCTTTCGATGCTTCTCATATAACTTGCGTTAAAAGACTACCTATGTATACTTGGGTACGGTACAGCGGCGCTAACTGCAATTATCAATAATTATATTCGGGCATCAAAACAGAGGTGGAATCAATGGTGGCTCTGATGATCTTTTGGCTCAATTCGTGTATATCCATACAAAAGACCACGTAAGTAAATAAATAGTACGACTTTAGCTGACGCGTATCGAATTGCGCGCGAGCAAACATTCGCCTTCAAAGTAATTTGAATGAACGGAAGAGATGAAAATAAAAATGAAAAGTTTATATATACTGTTTTTTCCTGTGTAATCTACTTGAAGCCATACGTGGTCATACCACACAGCTTAATAAACGCTACTTATACTTATACTTATACTCGTTAGCCGTGCAATGGAACGAAGGGAAGGG